TACCCACTTCCGACGTCCCGTTCACCCGCAATTCGCGTTTGAAGATTTGACTCCACCATCAGTGAGATCGTGTCGCGGGCTACCACATTCTCTTTTACGGTCCCACTTCCGACGTCCCGTTCACTCGCAATCCACTTCTATTGGCGACACGAGAAAGAGAGACAGCGATTCGAGATTTACGAAACGTTAAACCGCGTGAGTTCGCAACGGAAGGTAAAAGGCGCCCGAAGTTGACTACTTCTCGAAGACGCGCGCGCGCCTCGCAAAAGGTCGTTAATTTCGCCCCTATGACAAAAAACAAAATTCCGCCACGCAAGAGTTGTGCGCGTTTACAACATCTTTCCGACGACACCAATTTCAAAAGAATCGGACCAAAACTGTAGTAGAAGATAGGAAAAAACTGAAAAACCTTCACGTTAGTATACTACGCTCGAGGATGACGCCCAGATGTCGCCAACCCCACATCTTGTAGCCATGTCCCTAAGGTTGACAATTTTCACGGCCCTGTAGATACACGTACACCCGTTGCCTTTCTACAAGAGTTCTTCTACGCGCCCACATTTGCTGCCAGCCAGCCAGCCAGCCAGCCAGCCAGCCAGCAGCCAGCCAGCCAGCCAAAGTGAGATTAAAAGCTACTTTTACAAAAAAAATTTTTTGCAAAAATGCCGCTAAAAACCATACCTATAAGGTTTCTGAGATCACTTTTACTCCGGTCCACATCGGGTACCGTACTGGAATTGTTACGGTTGTTCCACATTCGAGTGGTGGATACGAGGGTGGATATTTGGAATCACTCTGAGACTTCATACGTTTTGCTTGTTGCTCTAGTCCCATGACGGCTATCTGTTGATTTTTTTTAATGTTTAGGTGAACATCATTTACCTAGTATTGATGTTTCTTCGGTAGTTTGGACTTCGCTCTCTTCAATTTGGTCTATTTTGTCCGTTCCTTCATTTAGTAATATTTCCTCAGTAGTTTGGGTTTCTAGCTGCTCAATCAGATCTGATTTATCCGATTCTTCATAAAATAATATTTCTTCAGTAGTTTGAACATCTTCCTCCTCAATCTGATCTGATTCTTCTGTTTGCACTAAAGTTTCATTTATCACTGAACCAGTTACTTCTTCTACATCTTCTTCTGTGTTCAAGCTTTCAATAACAGAAGTGGAAGAGCACTAGATGCTAGTCCTAATTTGGCTTTCCTTCCAAACAGTGCTTCAAACGGCGATTGCTTGATTCCAGAATGGAAGCTATTATTTTTTTGGTACTGGCAAAAACGCAAACCTTCGTTCCATTGAGTGGAATCGTTATCTATCATCCAAGCTCTTATCATTTCCTCCACGTCCCGATTGGCTCTTTCTACACTCCCTTGACTCTGGGAATGGTGCGGTTTGCCATGTACAATTTTTAATTGTGGCCACATGACGGTCAATTCGTCTATGACACAATTAACAAATTCTCGTCCATTATCTGACTGGAGTATTGACGGAGCACCAAAAATGCAAAAAATATCAATTAAATTGTAACTAACCTCAGCTGTTGTTTTTGTTTTTAAAGGACGTAAAATTACAAACTTGCTCAAATGATCTTGATAGTTCATTATAAACTTAAAATCACGATCTTTGCACGATTGCATGTCTATAAGTCCACTTGTCCACGTGAGTTAACTTCGTTAAAAACCATATTGTTGATGGTATTAAATTGAATAAGAACTGCTATTAAACATCAATATGAACAACGTTTTTTATTGTATCGGTTTCTAACGACAAACTCTAACTTATTTATATAGCAACAAACTACTACCTTAGATCAAACATAAATGAATTATTTAGTTTAAAGATTTTAGTACAACACTTCCCCTCAAACTTTAAACTTTCATTTATGTTACAATGAAAACATCCCCAATTTTTCTCTAAGATGTTGAAATTGAATTTTTGGAATTAGCTTAGTTAAAATATCCGCAACTTGATCTTCACTTGCAACATGCACTATGTTCATCTCCTTATTTTGAACTCGTTCCCGTACAAAATGCGCCCGCACATCAATATGTTTCGATCTCTTGTGGAAACTTGGGTTTCGAGCGAGTTTTATTGCGCGTATGCTATCTACACGAAGCGTTGGTACTTTTTCTAATGGTGCAATTTCCCCAAAAAGACGATTTAACCATACAATGTCTTTAGCTGCTTCGCTGGCAGCCACATATTCCGCCTCTGTGGTAGATAAGGAAACACTTTTCTGCTTCCTGCTTGCCCAGACGATAGCACCTCCACAAAATTTAAAAACCAGACCGCTGACAGACCGTCTTGTACGAGGGTCACTTGCAAAATCTGCGTCGCTGTATGACTCTAATTCGTTAACTTGAGTGTCAACTTCTTTGTAATAAATTCCCATTTCAGCTGTGCCCTTCAAGTATTTAATGATCCTTTTTACCATTGTCCAGTGCTGTTCCCTTGGTTCTTCCAGAAACTGTGAAACATAATTTACAACAAACGTGATATCAGGACGAGTAGATACTGCTAAATACATTAAGCACCCTACTGCTTCTCGATAAGGGGCTTTTGTCAATTCAAATTTCATTTCTTCCCCTGTTAATTGACATCTTTCAATTGGCGTACTAACTGAATTTGCTTCTGTCATTTTAAATTTTTCAATTATGTCATCAACGTACCGTTTTTGATTAATGAAAATTGTTCCATCGTTATGTTGATTAATTTGAATATTGAGAAAACATCCGACTGGCTCCGCTGTCATTTTGAATTCTTCTTCGAGTTTTCCAATGAATTTATTAATAGATTCTTTTGTTGTGGCAACAACCAATCCATCGTCCACATAAATAACGACTATCAGTTTTTCATTTTTGGAAATACGGTAAAATAAACATGGGTCAGCTGTACTCTCCTGTAAACCAAATGAAATTAAAACCTCCTTGAACCGTTCGTTCCAGCATCTTGGGGATTGTTTTAAACCATAAAGACTCCTCTGCAATTTACAAACACGCTGACTTCCATCTTCATAACCTTCAGGTTGATCCATGTAAATTTCTTCATCAATTTTTCCATATAAAAAATGCAGTCTTGACGTCAAATTGAGCAATCTTCAATTTTTCTTTCGCTGCAATACTCAAAACTATCCGAATTGAATCAAGTCGTGCCACAGGACTAAATGTCTCATTATAATCAATACCTTCTCGCTGACTAAATCCTCTGACAACTAAACGTGCCTTAAACCGCGAAACATTCCCGTAAGAATCCCGTTTCACACGATATACCCAGCGATTAGAAATAGTTTTTCGCTTTTCCGGCAGTTCAACAATTTTCCACGTCGAATTTTCTTTCAATGATGCCATTTCTTCGTTCATGGCGGTCACCCAATTCTGCTTTTCTGCCGATTTTATGGCCTCGTTATAACTTTTTGGTTCAACAACTTCCGAAAGCATTGCATATAACAACCTGTTTGGTGCTTTGAGATCGTTCCGATTTCTGAGATGTCGTTTTTCCAAGATTTCTTCCGATGCTTTACCCTCCAATTCCTTTTCTTGAGTTGGTGTGCTCGTCTCTTGATCGACAAAATCTTCTTCATGATCTTGCAAATTCCCTTGATCGATGAAATCTTCTCCTGGAAATGTTTCGGGACCTTGACTATCTGCGCTTCTTGTCTTCTCCGGAAATAATGACAATAATTTTTCAGACTGTTCTGGTTCAAAAACAACGCATTTACTGCGAACGATGCGATTTTCCGATTTATACCAAATACGAAAACCGTCAATATTGTCAGAATATCCGACAAAAATTCCTCGTTTGCCTTTTGGGTCCCATTTATTTCTCTTTTCTTTCGGTACGTGCACGAAACAATCTGTGCCAAAAACATAGAAACGATTTAAATTCACCTTCTTCCCCGTGAAAAGTTCGTAAGGAGATTTGTTTTCAACTCCGCTTGGTCCACTGCGATTCAAAATGTAAACAGCAGTATTGACCGCTTCCGCCCACAAATATTTTGGCAATTTTTTAGCCAAAAGCATTGTTCGAGCCAAATCAACCACTGTTCTGTTTGTTCGTTCAGCGCATCCATTTTGTTCATGCGTATAAGGATTTGACACCGCCAAATTCACCCCGTCCAACTTCAATATTTTTCGAACCTCGCTGTTGTCGAATTCTTTTCCTCCATCACACTGCAGGGTTTTCATCGATCTACCAAGTTGAGTTTTTATGATTTGTAACACCTCTACAATTTTTCCAGCAGTTTCTGATTTTTCCTTGAGGAAATAAACAAATCGCATTCTTGAATAATCACAAGTAAAACACGCAAAATATTTAGCACCACCCAACGAAGTGCATTCCATTGGTCCGCACAAATCAACATGTAGAACTGTTCCAGTCGTCGTAGCACGCTGATTTCGTGATTCAAAAGTACTCCGGTGTTGTTTTCCTTCCACGCAAGCTCCACAAAATGTTTCGTCCTCGATGAAGTCGATTTTCTGGTTTTTCAAAATTTTCTTGACATGTTGTTTGTTCTGATGTCCAAATTTTTCATGCCAATTTTGAAGTGTAATTTTCGTCGTTAGATTGGCCTCATTTACATAATCTTTCGGAAATGTTATTTGAATTACCATCCTGAATAATTGACCCATTCGAACTCCGTATGCTTTTACAACTCCATCCCGAGTGAATTCACATCTTTCGCTGGAAGATCTGAACTTCATGCCCTTGTCCAACGCAGCCGTGACCGAAAAAAGATTTCTTCGTGCCCCTGGCACAAAAAGAACATTTTCCATGTGACATTCTATTTTCTTTCTGTCGACATAAGCCTGAAATTTTATACTTCCTTTTCCGAGAGCGTCCATTGTTGATTTGTCGCCGACATAAATTTTTAAGGGAACTGCAAACTGCTCATAAGACAAAAACCACTCACGATGACGAGTTATGTGATCTGTAGCTCCGGAATCAACAATCCAAACATCGCCATCTTCCGCGCTGAGAGCCTCAGCCTCGTCTTTCGATTTTTCTTCACTGTCTTCTTTTCCCTTTTTGCAATTTTTCCGGATATGCCCCACACGTCCGCACCGGTAGCATTTAATTTTATTAAAATTATTGCCACCATTATTGGCATATTTCTTTTTTATGTAGGCCTTACTAGAAAAAAGTGCGACTAACTCTTCCTGTTTTCCTGTTTTCTGCTGCCGACGTTTTTCTTCCGATGTCAACACTTCAACCAAATTCGCAAATGTTTGCTGTTGTTCAGATCTCGCCCACCAAGCTTGTTGAAGGCCCTCGTAGTCATCTGAGAGAGAATCGAGCATCTTTACTACGAGTGAAGACTCGTCCGGTTTCACATTCAGCTGCTGCATGCGCAGAACCAGCTCCTCATAACGAGCAATGTGAGTCACCATATTATCAGCAGGATTTTTACTAAAATTGAAAAATTCAGTTTGAACAGTATGCGCAGCTTGTTTGGTTCGTTGCTCAAAAATAGAATGCAATTTGAGCCAAATTTCCCGTGCCGTTTCACATGAAACCAACAACGCCATAACCTTTGATTCTAGAGATTTAATAATTATCTGACTTGCTGCACGATCTCCCCTGTCCCAAGCCTTGAATTTTGCATCGTATTCTGCCTGATTAAAGTCCTTATCTTCAATAGCTAATTGCACTGGCTTCAGTATTTCCCCAATGCAAACTTCATACGCGTCCACTTTTCCTCGTAATAAATTTCTTATAGCAAATTTCCAAATACTCCAATTTTCAATACCCCGTAGTTTTTCTATTCCTTGAATTTCCATTTTTCGTGTCGTCTCTTGTCAAAAAAAAAAATTGATTCCGATTTTATCGATCCACTGCGCTATCTATTCCACGCTAGCAACCAAGATTTCCTTTGAATGACGTACCAACGAATATTTAGAAAGAACCACGCTCTGCTACCATGTTGATGGTATTAAATTGAATAAGAACTGCTATTAAACATCAATATGAACAACGTTTTTTATTGTATCAGTTTCTAATGACAAACTCTAAATTATTTATATAGCAACAAACTACTACCTTAGATCAAACATAAATGAATTATTTAGTTTAAAGATTTTAGTACAACAGTTACAGAAAACGCATAGGAACATTTGTAACTTAAAGTTTGTCTTTAGGCAGTTCGTAAATTAATATTTTGTTTACATAATGTTGATGTGAAATTAAGTATGCTACCAATGTGAAGAATACGCGTTTTTTTATCGCCCTTAAACATAAGTTCATTAGCCAGCAGCTCATGTGTTTATTTGGACCTAGTCTAAACCTGTACACTTATTGAGAAATGATTTGAGGAACCGGAAAGGAGTGGAATAGGATGTACTCTTCACACCAAGGGGTCTCTCAGGGTGGCTAACGGACAGAACAGGTTAAGTTGCGCGAATTTTAATGATCCTTAACTAGCCATTTGCAGAAGTCGTATAGGCCATGGTTTGTCGGTAGGCCTTTCGCATTTATATATTAAGGCGCGTATACATCTGAGCATTGGGTCGAATGAGCAAGGCGAGCGCGAATGAGCATTTGGAAAGGGGGCTGAGTACACATCTGAATGGGACACGCGATCGAGACACATGAGCTTCGCTCAATGAATGCTCGTAGTGCGCGTTTCAATATGGTATGTCCTTTCCGTTCCCTGTCGATGTCCACACTGAGCACGTATGAGCGTGTTCGCCGCAAGCGCTCGCTTTAATCTACCGACAAAATTTGGATCGGGTCGAGCGTGCTCGGCGCACGTTGCTCAGTCGTCCACATTTGAATGCTCATTCGCGCTCGCCTTGCTCATTCGGACCCAAATGCTCAGATGTATACGCGCCTTACAAATTTGAGATAAAGCGTAGGCATTATACTCGTACCACAGGCTCATTGAAATAACAAGCATACATACAGTTTCTGTTCTTTTGCCACACACTCGAGATATTCGCATAAAGGATCTTGAATATCTTCTGATCCGATTTATTTAAAAAAAACGCAATTGTGAGAGAAAACAGGTAGTGAAGATATTTATTCCTGAAAAAACTCAAATGTTCATATTCAAATCGTATGTACAAAAGAAAAAACGACACTACACCACAAGTATATATGTATAAACGGCCCAAAGTAATATTCTTAAACACGCTCATTCTCTTCTGTCTCATGAATATAATCACCATAATAATCTTCATCACTATCGGGCGTCGATTCCCGAAGATGTGCTTTGTTCACATCGACTGACCTTGATGTGAACGTGAATGTCACTGCATTCTCGAACCTACCACATCGAGCGAAAAGTTGATCGAACGCAACGACTGGTCTAGACCACTCGTTGCGTGAAAGTCATGCGCAGTTCCAGCTACAGGACGGATCTTGCAGCTGTTTTGCTAAAGAGGTTATTCAGTGCCCTAACCTATAAATTCACATATTTTCTGTGAAATAAAACATGGAATTGTTCGAGGATTTTCTGGTTATTAATAACAGTATCCTTAATGCAAAAACGAAACAAAATACAAAACTGACAAATGACAGTTCAATTCTTGTCTGTGATTGGTTAGCGCATACAGTTTGTTCGCGATTCGGGAATGCAGCTAAACTTGAACTTATCCCTATCGTATACGATCATGACGTCATGGCAGCCGGTCACATCACATGCACATCACGGAGCATATCGACTAACTTCGGGAATCGATACCCTGATTCGTCCAAGTTGACAATCACAGGTAAGATGTCTGATGTATCAATGGGCGCGTTCATAAGACACATACAGCTACCTCGTAGCGTATCGGTAACAGTTGTGGTCTTATGACACGACCGCTACTTTGACACGAGCACTTGACGTTAACGTCACTCTCTATACTTTGACAACTGTCGAACGTGCACAGTTTACATTTCTTATATCGCGGGAACAGAGTTATTTTAAAATGGCCCAAGAATATATGGCATTTAAAGATTTTAGATATAATTCTTCAGGAAACATTATTATGACTGAAGATGGAAAGTTGCAGTGCATCTTTGAAGATGGGTATGGTAGGTCATTAACTATGTAACCAATGACATGTAGACAAATTATGTTATGATTATAACGATGTACTCCTATCTACACTATAAGAATCTAATGTTCATTAATTGTTTAGGTAATGAGCAATTAATTGCTGTAGATAAACAGCAATTAATAGCTGCCAATATTATGGTGAATGAACAAAGTATTGATGATCCCCAACCATCTACTAATGGTTCAAATGCAAATTGCAATTTAGGTAGCTAATTATTACTCCCAATTAGACTATCTAATTCTACATTGTTTAGGTACTGAATTCGCATGGAATCGTAATACCACACTTTTACTGATTTCAAATTATAAAACATTAAAGGATAAGTTCAGAGATCCAAAAATTAAAAAAAAGCACTTTGGGCACAAATTAAAAGTCAATTTTTAAAGGAAGGTTACGAGGTAACCGAAGAAATTTTAGACAGAAAATTTAGAAATTTAAAGAAAACCTACACTGGATTAAAAGATACAATAACTAGGACTGGAAGAGGTAGAATTTCGTGGGAACATTATGAATCATTTGACGATTTATTTCAAGAAGACAAAAGTGTAAAACCACATACAATTTCCAGCATGCCACCAATAAGAGATAAACCAGAAGCCTTATCGCAAACATTTGAAGTGAGTGAAGCAGAAAGCGCACCTACGAAAACCCCTAGCGGCAGCGCACATAAAATGAGCACATTGTTCAGGCAGAGAAAAAAACAACTCGAACTCGAAGAGAGAAGGATAATGGAAATAACTTTGCTGCGCAAAGCAATAGAAGAGAGTAATGATATTCAAAAAGAAAGGAATGAAATTTTAAAATTAATGTTAGAAAGAAGATAATCCAAAAAGTAATAATACCCATGCATTGTTTGTTCTAATGTCGTAAAATATTTACAATAAAATTGCGTTTTTCTACGCCATTTTGATGGTCGGCGACAACATCGTTATCATCAGCTTCTTGGTGATTATTTTCTCCTTCTATAATTGCTTCATTGTCGTGCATTTCTTCCCCCCACATAAGGGTAAAGTTGTGCAAAACACAAGCAGCAGTAATAATTTCTGTTGCGAAGTCAGGTTCTGCAATGTCTAAATATTTCAGACGCCTGAACTTTCCCTTTAATTGACCGAAGGCCCTTTCGATAACTGCTCTTATCGTTGACAATTTAACATTGTAACGTATTTGGTCTTCGTTTAAGTGCCCATTGTCCCGAAAAGGTGTTAAGAGATTTTCCATTAGGGGGTAAGCCGAATCTCCAAGAATATGGCAATTGTGTGGCATTATTGTGTTGTTGTTATTTACCAGATGACCATATACTGGACTGGTACGCAGAACATGTGCATCGTGCACTCTGCCAGGCATACCCACATATATGTCCATAAATAGTTTTTTATGATTACATATTCCCTGAAGAATTACAGAATGCACTTGTTTACGATTATAGTAATCGTTAGCGTTTGCAGTTGGTTGTTTCATTTGAATGTGGCAACCATCAATAGCCCCAATAACTCCAGGGAATCCACCTGACTTGTCATGAAATGCCCTAATTGCCGTATCATGATTATTTGGCCACGTTATATATCTATTTAGCAACTCTACAAAGACTGCAACAACATCTTTAAAAATACCATGTGCAGTACTTCTAGCCAATCCGAATCGATCTCCTGCTGCCAAGAATGATTCTGGTTTGGCCAACACCCACAAAGTAAACAGTATCTTCTTTTGCATTGGTATTGTCGAGTTTTGTAGTCGTTGATTATTTCCAATTACAGTACTTAATTCTCCAAAACATTCTCGCGACATCCTAAAGTGCTGAACGAACAGATCCCCCAAATATTGAGGGATTGTTTCCTCATAATAATTTAAATTTCGAGGAATAGCATTTCGTTCCCTTACCTCATTGCCAATAATGTTTAGGGGTTCTGCTAAATCTAAAGCAACATTTTCAATTATTGCAACATTAAATACCTCGATCTTCAACCAAAAGAGCAATAATCGCTTGTAAATCCATTAGAATCACACAAAAACATCAAAACTTATAATAACCAATTCGTAATCCCAAAATAGCGAATAATTAACCTTAAATGACAAGATACTTGTCAATTTACACTGCGCTACTAAAAATGGCCGACTGCTCCGTAAAGAGCGTAAAAGTAGCAACGTAATTATAAGACGTATCGGTAACTGTTCCACAACAGTTGTGTCTTATGAACGCGCCCAATATGTTGTTCCCGTTCCCAGGCCTGGTTTATAATGCCTCTTGTATGATCAAAATATCTTTTCCATTTTTCCGGTGTAACCTAAACATTAAAGTTATTAAGTACTGTTTCACAAAACAGCATATAAAGAGGTTACTTTGTGCAGTGCCTCATTCCATAAAGACAAAACGGCACTGTGTGTGACAGGCTGAATTGAACCGATCCTTGCATCGTAATGCTGTTTGCATTCTGACCATACCATTTCGATTGGATTATACTCGCAGTGATATGGAAGAAGTCTCAAAACACTGGAAATCTAACGAAAATCGTTTGACGGATTGATATTATTGACAGATCAATAATTGGTTTATTTGTCACGACTTACGTTAATGACGTAATTTTTTTGTCTCAATCGATTTAAATGTAATGAAGAGAGAATCGCATTTATGACGTCAGGTTCAGCACCAGTGAAACAAAGTATACTGTCATGGAAACACACATGGTAAATAGTCAGAAATGACCGATCGCGCAAAAACGTCATTAACTTAATTATATAGCATCGAATTTAAATGAATGCCCGCCCGGAACTAACCCCTCTGCTTTTCTTTTCAAGGGTTTAGTTTTGAAACTATCGAGACTAGTTAGACTTAGTTTCCCAAAAATGTAGCAAAATAAATTATAGAGATACTAAGGAATTTGGACCAAAAGTGAGCACGACTGGAAGTTATATGATTCAAAAATCAAAAGACACCTTAGACCATATAGTACAAAAGACACGCAAACCGGTGTCTTCCCCTCTACTTACGGTATTGCCAAGTGAAAGTGCGTGTTGCCGGATTTCATGAAGTGGGGGGGGGGGGTCCTTTGTCCAAATATATATAAAATCTAATTATGGCTTCCTCTTCCTCGGCGATGTGATATGATTCCTTAGCTGTGGGACGGATTGTGTTATTAATACTGAAAGAAATAAAATATGGAGTGGTACATTTAAAGACATTTATTATTTCAAAAGCATGTATATTTAAAATAGAACATTTCAATAAAATGTTCTTTTAAAATGCTTTTTATAATACTTGATGATGTCCGGGTTTAATATAGAAGTTGTGTTCTTTGTATATCATCTGCATCAAGTATGAGTATCTAGTTACATTTGGTATCTGTACCTACCTACTTGCGTATGTACAAAGCATTTGTCATAATACGACTTTTTTTGTTAACGTGTTATTGACTCATCCTGTATAATACACCATCGGCTTGTTTGAAACTGTGGAAATTGGAACAAATGAGAGAATTCTCATAGAAAGAAAATTGATTTTGTGTCTATTGAAAAAACACAAATGTGGTGGCATCCTTTCATGCCTAAAAAGTGACGCTGTTTAAGCTATTTATTCATTTTTAATTTAATTGTATTCTTCAAATAAAGTTAAGAGACTTTAGGATAGAAACATGGCTGATAAAGAAGATACAGTTGTCAATGAATCTGGTAAGCATTAATTTTACGTAACAAAATTTGATCTCATTTTATTGCACCACCTCATTTCAGAAGTACGAAGAACGCGATCCGGACGAGCAGTTCGTACACCTGCCGCCCCCCCAACGAAGACTACCGGTCGGAAAAAGAAGAAAATGGTTTTGGTGGAAGTGGAGGTCTCGGACGAAGAGGAAGTTGCAGATCACGTGGAGCCCAAAACTGACGATTCCCAATTGCAAGGTGCAGAATTAGAAAATTCAGACAATGCAAACGAAGCCGTGGAAATGAACCGGTTTGTTAGGAGCGACAATAATGAGATCGATAATTGCAGTAACACTGCACAATTTCCGGAAGAGTCCATTGGCGGCAATAGTGAACTAAACTCATTTAAGGGTGCTATTGTTTCATCAGAGTGTGCGGAAAGTAACTTGGAAAACAATCTAGCGGCAGAGAACGTAGAAGAGAATAATAGCGTTGATAACTTGGTAGAAAATACGATAGGGGCAACTGCAGTGGAACCCGATGTTTTATTGGAAGATGTCAGTTTACAACAGAATGAATCTAATGTCAGTGAAGCACGGGAAGATAGCAAAATGGACATTGACGATGGCACCATGCATAAAACTGAAAAGCCACCAAGCGTAACTGAAAATGAAACAGTGGAAGAGGGTAGCATGGATAAAATGGAAACTAATACTGGTGATCAAGCGCCCGCACAGTCTATGGATGTAACACTATTTGTGTAACTTGTCGTTTTAGTTAGTAACACGCACATTTTTAGATCGGTGACCCAGATACAGAGGTTATTTCTGAAGACGAACTACCAGGTGTTCCGGTGGCTAAAGTGCCGGAAACAGAGGAAGTATCTGATGAAGAGTTGCCCGGACCGAAACGTGCTGAATTGCCTGCAGATACTGAGGTAATGTTCATATTTTTTATTTTACCAATTTTATTATACCTAACAAGCGCTAAGTTCACATGAGCATGTGTCGTTTTTAAGCGACTGTTGGGCAAATTTTTCACGAAATTGCCTGATTTGTATTCTCGCATGATTATGACCTTGTGCGCGGTTGCACCATTCTGTTGAAACCAACAGTTTTACACTTTTTTTTTTTTTGTATGCCGTATATCATCGTATTCGTAATAAAAAATTCTACAGTATACAGTGTGTACTTTTTTTACAGGCCGTATAAAAATTAGACGTTGTCGGGTTGAGGTTGTTGACGTTGTATATTAATAGTCGTTGTGGGTTGTGGAAAGAAATTTTGCAAATTATGAGAAAGCGTGCGGGGATCATAGCCATAATGATCTGAAACGAAAATCAGTATATAGTTGCTCGCCTCAACACGCTACTGTAGCTGAATTGTTTATTCATTCATAGTAGTGGTACCTATGGCCATAGCGAGTGTAAGACATGCACCACCCCACCACAACTTGCTTGTAAATATAAGATTCATATGTGTAACTAAAATGACATTCGAATTCACAGCTTTGAGAATGTTGACAAAACTGCATAAAGGAATAGGATAACTTCTACCATTGCCTTCTAACTGTTCTTTTGTTGTATTGACCTTAGTTAAAAAATCTTGCGCATCATTAACGGGTTTGCTAAAAATATTTTGGATATAGCCAGTTATTTATGAAATATAAAACACTTTAAAATTAAACTTCAGTTAGTATGACGTGGATTTTATTACTTAAGCAAATATAGGGAGACATAATAATAATAATAACAATAAATAGATAAAATACAACAAAATTATATGATACAACAAAATCACAACTGACACAACTAGTAAAAATAATAGAAAAATTGACAGCGGGCATAAAGATGGAATTTGGAATAGAAAAATGTAAAGCCATGCACATAGAAAGAGGAAAACTAACCGCAGAGAACAAAACAGAAACTTAAACCCTGCAATACTAACAAACATGCAGATAAATGAAATATACAAATATATATGCATAAAACAACCATTAAACACACAATAATCAAACAACAACTAAAGGATGAATACAAGAAAAGACAACCAAATCCTAAAATCAAAGCTATAAACGCATACGCCATTCCCATACTGGCATACTCGTTTGGAATTATAAAATGGACAGACACAGACCTGGAAAACATAAACACCCTAACACGAACACAACTCACTAAACATAAAAAATTACATCCTAACTCAGCACAAGAACGCATCACCATCAGCAGATGAAAAGGAGGAAGAGGTTTAATAGACATATCAGAACTACACTCAACACAAATACACAGTTAAGACTTAAGACAATAGTTTCACAATCAAGATCACCCCATTCATGCAGCAATTACACGTGCTGACAAAGGCTACTTGCCCCTGAACCTTTACGACACGAACATCACATATCTATAATATCAAACGTGAGAAAATTTAAAAAAAAACAATTATAATAGTAATAATATTAATACTGCTAATAATACGTTTACTAAAATGGTATACTGACAAACGTTCTTCCACTCAACCAGTTTATACTGATTGTAATTTTTATACCATAGTATTATTTACTATCGAATCATCAAATAATATTAAGGTTAAAGAATATTGTAAATGTATTGTTTGCGAATGGCCTTGAAAGTTACACTGCTTTCAAATGTTCCAATAGCATATTATTAATTTGTACCAAAGGGGTACAGAAGATTATTCAGTGCTATGGGCGTACAAGGTAGGGTTGGTTAAATACTAAGGGCTAAACGAAATTAAGACCAGCGCTATTCTATTTGCGTATAGGTCATTAACAAATGGAGCACAAGAAAATTGCAAATTCATGGTAAACAAAACTGTCAAAACTCAATGTAAAACTAAGAAAAAAGAGGGGTCGTTTCTATAAACGTTTTTGAGCATTTTAAGTAAAAAATATACAGTGTGTCTACTTAAGTTGGCGTCATATGAAGAACTTTGATATTACAAGTTTTAGGAAAAACTAGTTGTCAGGTAAACTTCTGACCTGACTTTCCGACTACTTTTAATAGAGTCATTGCTGAGGTCATTGCAATTATCTTTGCTCATATTTGGAAAATGCCCTCTAGCGCCTTTATTGTGAACCCGACGCACAAAGTGTACGAGAAAAATGCAAATTTAGAAAAATAAACTATGTAAATTCTCAATTGTATTATTTGTATTTTCTGCACTTTGTTCAGTAAGTTGTATTTGTGTGATTGAAAGGGTTACAGGTGGTGATATTACAGTATGTTGTGTATCGTGTTGCAAGCCAGTACTGTTTTTTACACATGAATCATGTGTGAAACTGTTGGAATATGACATGGTTTATTTTGTAGATTTCAAGATCTTGAGTAACCAACTATGCGGTATCAAGTCGAACTCTTTTTGGTAATCAATATAGCATGTTATTATATTCCTTCTATGTGTTTCTGCATATTTCATAGCTGTACTATCTATTATTACCTGCTCTTTGCAACCCTGAGTTCTTCCTGCACCCCTTCTGTTCCTCTGTCAAAATGTGATATGTTATGTGCTTGTCTATTTTGAGTGTAATAAGTGATGATATATCACTATAGCGCGTTCGCACCTCCAGATGCAGTATGGTGCTTATGGACATACAGTACATGATTGCCAAACGTGACAAGGACAACACAAGGAGATTATGTTTTGTTTTAATACTTAATCATATGTCAATTTGACATCAATGCGGTTAGAAACAAGGATAGTATTATCGAAGAATGACGCAAACTAGTAGAGTAGAGGCAATTAGTCCATAAGACCCCATACTGCATCTGGAGGTGCGAACGCGCTATAGTGATTGGTCTATAGTTTGCCGGATCTAGGGTGTTCTCATTTTTTGGTATAATGTATGTTTTATCTTGCGTTACAAAATCTGATAGGGTATACGGTTCCTGGATTATTTGGTTAAATGTTTCGTTAATTGTTGCTGTCGTGATGTGAATTGACTCCCCGAGTCGAAATTACTATTATTATTATTATTTCTCCTGCTGAACAACTTTTCTTAGTAACATTTTGTCGCATCATGAAGAAAAAGTACAGTTTACCTGAAAAGAAAATAGTTTTTGCCGCACTGTCAAGGCCGACTTGATTTTTGAAAAATCCAAAATATTCTTCAAATTCTATTCACACCAAGCAGGACTTATATCCAAAAAATCAAACATTCTTAGTTCATCACACCTCTTGTAACATCAATCCACTGTAGATAGATGGCACCCAAGTTCTATAAATGTATGTTTACAGCAAGCTCTATAATCCAGATGAGTTATAATTATAATAGGGCGTCTTTGAAGTAGCAAAATTCTTTTGATGCCAAGAGCATGTCCCCAGGTAATAATTGCATAACACAATATCCAGTGGAAGTATCCATAATATGCGATATTTATTAGGAGTGGACTGTATATGAAATGTAATTCTGCTTTGGCGAAGGCGATGCTATCGACGAATCTTTCACGGTGTGATACAGTTTGCCGAAAATGACATGCTCCTTCTTAACAGACATGTTCATTATTATTGATGGTTGTACAGCGACGTCTTTTTTGTTCATTGGTGTTCGATGAATATGCAATGCAGGCTAATTCTAACTTCTGCGGCTCATTCAGCGCACATAACAAGTGGGAATATTTCAATAGTAATTTTTAGCACATTTTTTAAGAATTAAAAAAAATGTGCTATTGTTTGCGTTTTGTCCGTCCGTCCGGACTCTCTTCTACTGTTTTGAACTACTTCTAGGGGAATGGTCCTAGAGTCCTGGAATTTAGGTAGCCTATACCTTGAAGGTGTGCCAGACGGCCATCAAATTTCGCTGTGTAAAAGGGGGGGCCCCCTCACGAAGTATTTCCTGAGATGCTGTTTTTGAAAGTAAAACGTGCATAACTTTTACATATGACAACCAATTGGTCTCAGATTTTGCATACGCATGCCTTTAGTGGTGCCAAATTAAACTTTAGAAATGGGGGGGGGGTAAACACATTTTCTACCCTTCATGGTATTCTAATGAAAGGTCTCATCGAAATAAATTGGTTTGTATAAGCTATAACTTTCCCGTGCGACTCTTTTTCGAGATCAGTGAGCAACGGGCGGGGGGGCGGAGGGTAACAATAAATTTTACCTCATTGTATTCTAATTAAAGATCTCAACAAAAGGAACCGATTTCTACCAACTACTGCCCTTCTGTCTGTCCTCTTATCAAAGTATGGGGGGGAGTGGTACTCTAATGAAAGATCTCGACGAAAGGAATTAATTTCTACCAATCATAGCCCTCCTCCTTGACCTCTTATCGTGATGTATTATATTCCCTTATACCTCAAGAACGGATTGTCGGAAGAGGGTACTCACAAAGGGCGATTGAGACGTCTGCAAGAAATACATCCATTGGTAATGTCAAAACAAGAGGTATTTCGGTTAAAAAAATGCGCTTTATCTGCACAAGAGTTGTGCACAATTTATACTTGTTTCATTTCCCATTATTGACTACCCTAATTAGTTTAGAAATAGTCTATTTAAATTTTTTGTAGAGAAAAAATTACGAATTCATATCAAACATCATTTAAATGCTTTCATAAATAAGAACGTTTGGCACTGCGCATGCGCAAAACTAAATTTTGACACTGGCGTTAGATTTACTTTTCTTTCAAGCGCTCATGTATCAAATTTCATTTAAATGCTTTTGTAAATAAAAAAAGTTGGCACGGCACAAAAATATTTGGAAAACGTTAGTTTCACTTACACTCGTAGTGTTTACACATAAATTTCATAAATAAAAAAGTTAGCATTGCACATGCGTTAAACCAATTTTGACACTGCGCATGCGCAAAACCAAAAATATGAGTACGCATGGAACCCTTGCACCAAGTCCTTTCAAACGAGCCCTATATCGCCCAAATCGGTTCAGTCGTGTAGAAGTAGTACATGTGACGGACCGACGAACAAACAACAAAGATAGGGATAAAAAGCAGAAAATCAAATTCTTATTTTACAATCTACCGTTGGCTCACCAAAAAAAATTCAAGAGTAGAAAATGGAACATGATCCATGAACAAATAATACCGTGTAGATTCTCACTACAATTAACATATGAACAATGATATAACACCTTCAGTGTAACTTATAACGGGCGATCAAAAATTAGTTGACGTCGAGTTACCTTTGAAAGTTCAAGTTAAGTACGATTTCCCATGTAAAAAAAATTCCAAAGGCGACTCAACAGCAACTCATTTTTGATCTCATAGTATATCAAATTTGAGCAAAAGTCTCAAAAACTGCAGGAGATATAAAGAATTTGGATTCGTGGAAAAGTATGGAAATGGGTTCATAATAATGTATTACATGATTTTCCTAAAACCATTACAGCTTAATATTGAATTACAGGTTGTGTCAGAAGATGAATTACCAACGATCAAAAACAAACGTAAATTGGCTGAAGGCGACTATGATCCAGGTTCTCCAACTTCCGAAAATGAAACTCCCGTAAAGAAACCCGCCTTAGATGCTGACGTCGAAAAAGAAAAAGACGATAAGTCATCAAAACCGAAAAAATTACCTACCCTGGATAAGTACTGGAAAGCTGTAAACGACGATCCAGCTGATTTTACCGGATGGACGTATTTGTTGCAATATGTTGATCAAGAGGTGACATTAAGACGCTTTTTAATTCCATCTTAAGTTTGTGATTTATAGAATGATATGGAAGCGGCTCGTGAAGCGTACGACGCCTTCTTATCTCACTATCCGTATTGCTATGGATACTGGCGTAAATATGCGGATTACGAAAAGCGTAAAGGGAACAAGAAAAAGTGCGAGGAGGTACGTATTTTTGATCATCTGATTTATGTTAATGTTTTATACCGTCACGTAATTATTTTGAAATCCCTACAGCTCCACGGTGGGCCCTCTGGCATAAATTACATATTGAAATACTTATTTTATTATTATAAAATGTTATATATTTGTAACATGTATTATTTAGATTATTATGATAACTTTGACTTAGTAGTGAGATAATTATGTGTGATGTGTTGAAAAATTTCTAAGTAACGTCCCAAAGTCGTTCAGCACCGTGTGATTAGTTCCTGTAAGAAGTCTGCGGTGGACCAAATTTATGAGATTAAAATGTAAGGATTCCATATATTCGATAAATGGAATACTTCATGATATTTTAATCATTTTCAAAAAATTTCAGGGCTCTTCAAGTTGGTACGTATTTGTTTGCGTCACACTTATTCACTTTGATTGCTAAAATTGTCATTTCTTTAAGACGCAAGCAGGTCCGTATCGGCTGTTTTTAGTTACAACTCTCTGACTTGTTAAATGTCAAGGTTTTCGAACGTGGACTGAAAGCTATTCCTCTGTCGGTGGATCTGTGGATCCATTACCTTACCTATGTTCGCACGTCGCGTCCCGACGACGAAGAATTCATAAGGTCTCAATTCGAAAGAGCACTGTCCGCTTGCGGTTTGGAGTTTCGTTCGGACCGACTATGGGATAGCTACATAAAATGGGAAACTGAAGCAAAACGTTTACAGCATGTTACCGCCATTTACGATCGTCTTCTTGCCACTCCAACGCAGGGTTACACGACACATTTTGACAAGTAGGTACCCTTTTATTATCAGTCCTGTTTTAACGCAATATCTGCTTAGTTTCCAAGAACATATCGCTTCCCATGCTCCAAACAAAGTTTTAGAAGTGGACGAATTTTTGGCTTTACGTAAAGAAATGAAGCACATGCTCAAACACGATGCTGCAACTGAAGGGGATTCTGAGAATCCTGACGTTCCTCCCGGCGAAGATGAATCGAAAAATGTGGTACGCTATTTTTAATATTTTAAGTTTGTTGGATCACTTTGTCACTAACAAGATTGTTTGTCCCTTGAAAGTTGTTAATAATTGTGAGAGTAACAAAGATTTTGATCATTTCAGTAGACAACATGAATTTGTACAACTCTGCTTTTAACAGATTTTGTTTTGCGACCCTAAAACCGATGGTAAATATTAAGTAGATAAATCTTTGTTATCTGATTTAGGTTATAAAAAATTACAGCTATTCAAATTTTATTTGTCATTTTTTTTAAGTTGGCAGCACATTTGCCCAAAAATGGCGGATGATTGCGGTACTTTCTATATCTAGTGACTTTATTATTTACAACTGATGATAAAAATAAATAAGAAACGCCACCATCTCTCCCAAAGGTCAAACCGGGTCCAAGTTTTTGACCTATACGCTATTCATTTTGAGAAAGTAGGAAGCATAGAGAAACTTTGACCTTGACTGTGATTGGTTAAAACATGAGTCAGTATTATGTTTGAAAAATAAAACCAATGACCAATTTTGTAAGCTGGAAGTTCCTGTTGCTAATTAAACTGTCGAACTGTCATGTCAAAAATCCAAGCGTGAAATCGGTTGATTTATTTCTGTTCTTAGTGCTGGGTATGTCTCTTTTACAATAATTTGGTGCGTTTTATATTTTCCTTGTGTGTGCTTATCTTCAAACACAGCGCCATCTACTACCTGCTTATTGTTGAAAATTTCCCACTTTTTATACGTTCATTTTTAATTGAGTGGGATTTCAAATAAGATTATTTACCAACCAGAGACACCATACAGAGAACGTCTTGCCCCCTCAACTATGCCAACCGATCTAACTATGGAATTTATGTGTTTTACAAAACCTCTCACTCAGTACACTAAAAAGACTTTTAAGAAAAATGGGCAAATTATCCTTATTGTAAACTGATAAAGCATGTTAGGGCTTTATAACCTCTTGAAATTATGAAGGTAAAGCATTCTGGTAGATTATTCAACCTTCTGAGGAAAACATTTTTTGTGACTAAGAAAATTTAAAATTTACTACCCACAAATTTAAACAACAACGTATAACAATTGATGGAAATATGTAAGAATCACAGATGCCTGTTAAACATAACATACATATATTGAAAGAAAGTATAAGAGCAGACGCGTAAAGAATTACTACCAAAATTTACTTAAAAACATCACTAAACAAGTACAAATTGTGCACAACCCTTGTGCAGGTAAAGCACATTTTTTTAAACACCCCTACGAGTGGCTACATTTGCTTTTATTCCAAGTGGCTATTGTAACGGAAGCTTGTTAAATTTTGCAAGTTTTGTGGATTTCAAAATTATATTCGGGTAGAAATGCGTATCGATGATTCAGATTTCTGTGAAGTTGTAATGTTCATTAAAATTAACAAACATTTTTTTTTTCGATGTAATTAAGTTTCAAATATCGTGAAATATAAGATGAGTTATTGGTTTTGGACTTCCTATTTTGGGCGAGTTAACGATTAGTACGTGATTTAAAAAAGGTCACCGGTTAAAAGACGCAATAGATTCTAAGAAAAATATGTAATAAAACAGCGAGGCTAAAAAATTATGAGTTTGTTTATTTCCGGAAACTTGATGGGAGCTTTAATTACGGGCGTTGGTTTACTCGCGATATAAAAACCAAAATGATCAGACATTTGAGAGCTTTTTGCGTAGATATTCACGCGGAGCGTGGTACCGCCGCGGAAAACGCGGCCACCACTTATAAAGTTTTTTCGTAGATATTCGCACGGGCGAGTGTCATCGCGGAAACGGGCCATTTAAGTAAAAAGGCCTAAACCAAATAAAATTTGTTGCGCGTATTAATTTAAAATCGTATTTTTTAACCAAGAACAAGTTGGTCGTTCGGGAATAGTGATTTGTTCGGAAAGTATTAATCATTGAGTAACTGCAGTTTAGTTTAACGTGCGATTGAAAGACTTCCGTTCAGAAATTATACCTAAAGTACGAAAAGCGCGCTAAGAAATTGTTGTTCAATTGGGATTACGCGATTGGATTTAATAGGCGAAGATTGAAAATAATCTAAATCATGCTCCACTACAATACCCACCATCTAAAAAGGGGAAGAATACTACTGTCTAAATTGTAAGTTATTTTTATGAAAAGTTATTTACCTAGAAATTTATTCATATAAAATTTTTATTTTGTAATTTTATAATTGTTTTTGCCGAATGGTTTTATATAGATAGGATAAATATAAGTTAGAAGTTAGAAGAATATTCATTGCTGTAGGTATTTAATTAAGTGTTATATTAAGTCAATTTAAATTCAGATTCAGGATAGATGTAAGTAATTGAGTAATTAAGATTTAATATAAAAAAGGAAATCAATTGTGAGTGCAGTGGAATTTGGATTTATTTTATTTTTTTTTAATATAATCGGTTTATTTATGTAGATTTATTTTTTATCAATCAGAAACGTGAGACGGTAATAGTAGGGCTATTACACTATGTATCAAATTTCATTTAAATCCCTCCATAAATAAGAAAGTTAACACTGCGCATGCGCAAAACGAAATTTTGAAACTGGCGTTAAATTTGGTTTTATTTCAAGTGGCTATGTATCAAATTTTATTTAAATGCCCAATGGGAAGATTTCTTCCAAACGTCCCAATCGCCCTTTGTAGGTACTTTCTTTTGACAATTCACTCTTAAGATATAAGGAATTATAACCGATCACGACAAGGGATCGAGGAGGAAGACTATGGTTAGTATAAATTAATTCCTTTCGTTGAGACCTTTCATTAGAATTCCACTCCCCCCACTTTCCCCTCCACCCCGTACTGTGATAAGAGGACAGAAAGAAGGACAGTAGTTTGTAGAAAACTGTTCCTTTAATTAGAATACAATGAGAGATATAATTAATTTTTAACACCCTCCCCCCCCCTCAAACCCCGTCGCTCACTGATCTCGAAAAAGAGTCGCACGGGAAAGTTATAGATTGTACAAACCAGCTTATTTCGATGAGACCTTTCATTAGAATACTATGAAGGGTAGAACGTGTGTTTACCCCCCCCCCCCCATTTTCTAAAGTTTAACTTGGCACCACTAAAGGCATGCGTATGCAAAATCTGAGACCAATTAGTTGTCATGTGTAAAAGCTATGTACGTTTTTTTTTTTCAAAAACAGCATCCAGGAAATAATTCGAGGGGGGGGGGCTTTTAGACAGCGAAATTTGATGGCCGTCTGGCACACCTTCAAGGTATGGGCTACCTACTGCAAAAAATTCCAGGACTCTAGGACCATTCCCCTAGAAGTAGTTCAAAACGGTAGAAGTGGGTCCGGACGGACGGACAAAACGCAAACAATAGCAATTTTTTTTAATTCTTAAAAAATGCGATAAAAATTTTTGTAGAACTGTTTTGCTGTTTTAGTATAACCTGTCTTTTTCGCAAACGAAAATCATAACTTTTCAAATTTTCATTATTAACATTTTAGGTCATAATAATAACCATAGATTGTATGAATGAAACTAATAAAGTTTTGTTTTTCTGTTTTTGGCTATCGATTTCGGTTTGTTTCATAACCATCGTCAGACCTTAGCTACAAGCAGTTGTTAGTTTAATGACTATATCTGTAGTAGTACGTTGTATTGAATGGTACAGTCATTTGGAATCATCGGAATGTTTTTTTCATTCATTCCGGAATCCTTTTTACCGCAGAATGTTTTCTATCATTCCCAAACAACCACAATGTTTTTATCATTGCGAAATCATCGAAATGTTTTTTTAATCATTCCAGAATGCCCTTTTTTTCTTTTTTTTTTAATCCTGGAATACTTTTTGTAAAATGTGATTATTATCCCCTGTTCTTTTAGTTTTTTTAAAATTATTCTGGACTTCGAAATGCTGTCTGTATTTGTTATCATTCCAGAATTTTATCGGAATGCTACGTTTATTTTATGTTTTATTATTTCATTTTTCATCGGAATGCTACCGTTTTTTTAAATGGACTTTGCCTTTTTTTTAAATAATAATAATAATAAATGACTTCATTAGACACGCCCATTTTTTGTAATTTTTTTTAAATAGGACTTGTAGATTTTCGAAAAAAAATTGCTCATGGAAGGTACTAACGGGACCCGTCCATTTCCAACCGTTTAAGCTAGGGAAAATGAAAAAGATATTTGACTTTTTCAGTGATATCTCAACTGTTTTAAAAGATTTTTCGAAAATTTCGATTGCGTTGTTTTTTTAGTCACCAAGGGGTAACTTTGCCCCCATTTAAACTACACTGTATCTCTCACTGTTGCGAAAATTATAATGGTGAGCCACAAATTTGAACCACCCTGTACAGTCATCAATCATCTCCGCACACAATTTTATTGACTTTGGTCACTGTTTGTGGACGTTGGTCGTCTTCGATTGCTCTCTCGGCCTTTAGCATGAGAAAAAAACACGTTCATTTCTAACCTCTATAGCAAAAATACTACGACAGCTACCTAAACTGTTTTCGTACTGGAGTAGTAGAGACTTAGGGCTAGATAACACGACATTCGTTTGCCCCACTACTCTCCTAGGGTGGCTTTTGCGCGCGCAGTCTTGTTATTTAATAGCCAGACCTCATGTTTCATTTGAAAAAGAATAACTTTGTGCTACAACTTGAAAACTGGACAATATTGGGAAAAGCTAAAAACATCAACTGTAAAATTATTATACTGTATTCATTATAAGGAGGTAGTAGATGGCGCTGTGTTTGAAGATAAGCACACACAGGAAAAATATAAAGCGGCACTCAAAAATTGTAAAGTACAAATATCCATCACTGAGTTAGGGCAGGAGCACAATGTATCCATCTGTGTGGCCAAAACTTCGAATCTGAATATCTCACGAACAAGTGAGACAGGGATAATAAACGTTGATTATTATATCACTCACCTTCTCCCAGACTCAGACCTCCTAGATGATAGTGTTAGGACCTTACATTTTACATTGTGTCTTGAGGTATCTGAGGTTGCAATTTTAGAGGTCGTCATCTGCTAGTTCTTTTATTTCAAGTAGCACAGAGACTGTTGAAGTGTGCAAACACTGAATTCCATGACAATGTGTATCTATGATACCGAGTAGTAAACAAGTTAAGTTTTTGAAATATAAAAAGACATTTTCGTACTTCCGAGACTAAAGTGACAACTTCACTCCGTTATGACAAGTACTGAAGTGTCACTTTTTGTCCCGCGGGGATTAAATTTAGACGAAAATCCCGGAAGGATGTAATTACTAACGAGGCAATTTCAGTAGGTTGTTCCACATTTTGTATGCGGCACCACTTCTTTAACGTATCGTACTGCTGCTCATATACTTTTTTGGATTTCGGTGGTATCAATTCTTTACCTAGTTTGGCTGCTTTTTATCAATATCAAATACACCTTTGTCACCCACCACCAAAATAATGACACTAGCAATGACAGTTTCCAAATTATTTTTGTTACCATAGCATAGGGATTGTCGTACCAACGCAACGTTCCTATGGTAACTTGTTAAGCAGAGATTTTTTGAAAGAACGCGTTCTCTAACTCCATACATATTAAGTGTTTCAGTTTCGGAAGTACGAAAAATATCGTATATACCTTGCGACTGAAGTAGTGGTCTTAATCCCTCAGGTAAATTATGGCCCTCCCTTCGGTCGGGCCATAAACTTTACCTTCGGGATTAAAAGTACTACTTCAGTCCCGCGGTATATAATATACTATTTGTACTTTTTAATATCGTCCGTTTATTTTATTAGTTAATCCTCGATATTACCACACAACACTTTAGAGACAAGGTAAATTAACGACATCGTAAGAGTTAATTAAATTTATTCTTTGTCTGTGTCTGGCATGATTTAATAAAAGACTATTATTATTATTATTAATTGGAAATGAACTCTTGTTGATTTGCAATCCATAGAAACATTTTATAATAAATGCGCCATGGGAGGGACTAGGTGCCTTGGCAATTAGAAAGCGTACAGGCGTTCCAGAATAGTCAAATGGCAGTTTACACCAATACAATAAATGAAAGAATTCAAGCTTTTATCATTTGGAAAATCTTTTGCTCAAAGATACAGTGCGATCAATAATGAGTTGCTGCGCCGCTTCAATAAATTATGACGTTAGTAATCATTTGCCGCAACAGGCGTGGTGCACCAATACTAAAACATAACCTTAAACTTCAAACCAAAGTAAACTTTTGACGTTTAACCATATTTAATCTAAATCAACGATTTAAGCACCTTGTGAATTTCCAAATTATGTGACACTACCCAAATAGTAAATTATTACAAAAATTGAAACGATATTTTATTTCTTTTACAACTCGTTAATATCGAAGTAATTGGATAAATTACATGCACACTATCACAACTGTTCGAAGTGCTCGCCACCATTATTAAGACAGGGATCCACTCTTTTCTTCATGTTTTCGAAGACGGAATGTAACTACAGTTGCGTAATGTTTCAAACGGCAGCTTTTATACCTGCTCGTAATTCGGCAATGGTGTGTAAATGGTTCCGAATACGTTGCAATCTTGTAAATTTGCATTAAACCAATTGCATGCAATAATTTAGAGGGCTTTGTAAATCTGGACGATGAATTCTTGTAACACGGTTACTTTAAACGATAAAAGTACAACTTTCTCCAGACAGTAGTGTGACACGTTCCGTATGGTATAAGATACCCGTTTGTCGTAGAGACTTTTTCGGAATTTGCTCAAGAGGTTTCTCGAAACTCCTATATACACAAACGTATCGAGTACCTACTGCCAAACTCAATTTTCGTCTTTAGTCCCATTACGGAAACAGGACTGCAAATGCATCTTATTCTCTTCTAAAGTAAAAGGCATGTCGGGAGTAAACTTATTACCTTTTACACGCTACAACTAAAAAAACGTTTGTTTATAATTTATAAGTAATTTACCCACCTTGTAAATATCCGAAAGAAACTGGTAGACTTGAAAAAAGCCGTTTTGAAATGGACAAAAGTTAAGAATCACAAATCGGAATTATAGGTTATGTTTTTGTTTTGTATTGGTACACATATACCTGGTTGCGGCAAATGATTACTAATATGATATTTTATAAGAGCGGCGCAGCATATGATTATTGATCTCCCTGTATTACCCAAGGAATGCATTGGAATGACAGACAAATAAGTAATTTTTTGTAGCCTAATCTTATTAAAATAATCTGAACAGACTGTGGTCAAATTGCTACCAAACTTGATAACGGCTGCATCAAAGGACAGACTCACGGTCTTACAAAATTATTGATTTCTAGCACAGAATCAAGCTTCAGGCGTTCCTGAATAATACAGGGTGTCTCGAAATTCGCGCACACGGACCATGGGATGGTGTTATACGACAAAAACTGAACAAAAAGCTCCTCTACCAGTTTTCCATCAGACCGCTATTTTTGGAGCTACCGCGGTTTTAAAAATCTCCGCCCCCCCCTAGGCTGCGCCACTGGTTAAACTTAATAATAACACATTTTTAAAAACAAAAGAAGGTTCAAAATAAACTATAATTACGACGAGTACGTAATTACAACAGTTGTTCAAAATGTCCGCCGTCTGCTAGTAAACAAGCTTCAGCACGTCGAAAAAAAAGTGCCGGTCTGATCAAAAACTGGTAGAGGAACTTTTTATTCAGTTTTCGTTGTATAACACCATCCCACAGTCTGTGTGCGCGAATTTCGAAACACCCTGTATAAATTGTATCAAGAATATTTGTAATAATTATATGTTTGATGACAGGGAAAGAAATACTCAATTTTGTATTTTTACTTACAGTTTCAAGTTTTATTTAAACCTTTAATAACTAAATATACAATATAGGTATTATCGTTATGTATGTAGAATTAACCATAACTAATGTAATCATACTTTCTTTAGCAGAGTACAGACGAAGAGACAAAAGTAATTCGAGAAAGGATAGTATCGATCCGTAGAAAGATTCACAAAAACACAGTTAATGCCGTTACAGCACGCTGGAATTTTGAAGAAGGTGTAAGTATTAAAACTTTCGTTGGTGAAGTGCACCCAGAACTCAAAATGATGATACACTTGCTGTGGTTAGCTCTTGTGTTACCAAGAGATAACTCTGATGTTACTGAAGACATCGCAAGGGCCATCTGAAAACTTAAACTAACTTAAGTTTTGTAGTACAATAATAACGGCGACATTTTCATATTAATTACGTTTCAGATCAAACGGCCATACTTCCACGTGAAGCCTTTGGAACGATGCCAATTGAAGAACTGGCAGGATTACTTGGATTTCGAAGTCGAACAAGGTGACCAGGTCAGGATCGTTGTTTTGTTTGAACGGTGTTTAATCGCGTGCGCATTATACGAAGAATTCTGGTTACGTTTCGTTCTTTACCTGGAAGGATTGAAAGACCCCAATTTACAACCCAAAATTAAAGACGTTTACGAGAGAGCTTGCACGATACACCATTTGAAGAAACCAAACCTGCACTTACAGTGGGCCATGTTTGAGGAATCGGTTCAAAACTTCAATCGGGCCGCTGAAATATTGGTTAACCTAGAGAAATCGGTGCCTAATTTACTTCAAGTAAGTCTATATTTTTGTGTTTCCTTTCTGTGTATTGTTTGACCTTTCCAAAAATTGGTCTGTGATTCTTCAATGTTCTTCAACTCTCGAATGTTTTTCACATATTTAAGGATTTCATTAAATACTGAGATTATTCCTACTTTTCAACTATCTGGAGTCTTAAAATAGTATATTATTCCATGAGCATGTAATGGTGGCTATTACTCATGAGAATTCTTTCGAATGAGTAATAGCCATTACATGCGAATAGAATACTATACTTTTTCTACGAATATTTGACAAAATTTAATGAAAATATTCAAACTTATCGTTTGTTACCAAACCAATTGCAGTTGAGTTTTTTTATAAATATTGAAAGTTGGTCATACTGTGACAGTGTGACAATTGAGAAGATATCAGAGATGTCAAAAGGTTGTCAAGCTTTCGGTTCTCATTTCTTAAAATTTGATCGTTTAAATTGTGGGTTTATTGCTATATGTAATTATAGCTAATCGCCTAAACATTGAATAATGCGGGTACCACCAAAATTACGACAAAATAACAGGCATATGCGACTTACGAAGTAACAGAATTTGTACGAATACTTAACCTCACTTCCTATTTTTACACTTTGAAGATCCTTTTGTAATTAGTTGTCTTTAAGGTCGAGAAAATGGGAGTTAAATATTCAAATTTTCATATTTATATTTAGCTTAGATCGATCTAAGATATTTAGACTTTTCCGGCCATAAATTTAAACATAGGTAATTGTTTTGCCGTTTCTGTTATATTTGGCGGCGTACAACTTAAATTATTTTCATTTTCGCCATCCATCTTGACACTTTCAAATTCGATGCGTCGGTAATACAGTGATCTTTTCCTTTGAGTTCAATTCAGCAACTTAATTTATATTAAAAACGGTCTAAATTAGCATGGGATTTTTTATTTAATTTAATATTGATTTTCAATTATACAATTTTGCATTCACATTTTTGTTTTTTATGTTATTAAATCTAATTCTTAGATTTGGGCAAGTCATATATTTCGATACAAAGGGAAGTTACAACCAGATAAATTGACAGATTGATTGTTTGTTTTTTATGAAACTTTCTCATTGGCTGGCTGCGGTGAGTTTTTTTAAAGCCATGCCCAGTGATTAATTATTACTCACTGCTGTTATCCAATAATGTGAGGAATTTATACTCTTACTTCATAAAATTGCAACGTTTAATGTATTCATTAACCCATATGAGTAGAAAAAACTTTATTTCCTAGGTTCAGCTTTGTCGCAGTACACTTACTTATTTAGTTCTATCCTATATTATGAAGATTGAGAGGTAAAATTAAATTAATATTGAGTCCACCTTTTTCTATGACCCTGTATTTTTACGAATTCGACCCCTGGCCGATATTACTAATCCTCTAAGTGGGTGGCATTTAAAAGGAGCGCAGGCTTCCATGTGAGAATTGAATTTGATACTGTTTATCAGCATTATTACCTTTTAAAACCCCTTGCATTTAATTTATCCCTTTACATCTGTTGCTATTTCTGTGCTATACTTATTGGTATCAAAATCTTTTTGTGCTTTTAAATCAAATTATTTTTTACCTACGTACATGTTACCAGAAATAGTCTACTCTTTAACATTAATATTCTATTTCTAGGTTGCTTACAGACGTATAAACCTAGAAAGAAGGAGGGCCGATTATGAAAAATGTTGCCAGCTATACGAGCATTACATGAGCACCACAAAGAACAAAGTTATCGCGAGCAACTTGGCGATTAAATTTGCCCGTTTCCACTGGAAAGTCTTAAAAGACCTCGATAAAGCAATGGAGGTGTTAAATACTGCCGTCACCAAAGATTTGAACAACGCAAGATTATATCTACAGCTTATCGACTTCACATTACAAAAAGAGGAATTCACCGAAACCGACATTCTATCCCTTATTGACGCATTTCTTGAGAAAGAAGGAATCGACATCGAACAAAAGGTACTTTTCGCCCAAAGGAAATTGGAATTCCTAGAAGATTTTGGTTCCAACATTCAAGCCGTACAAAAGGCACAAGAAGAATATCAGAAATACACTAAACTAACAAAAGATATGAAAAAGAAAGAGACGTCCAAAGCGTGAGTATTTCAAACTAGTTCTTTTTCCAAATAGCAATTGGTCTTTTTGTAGTGATACGACATTGTCAAAGAAAGATAAAAATCCTCCTCTTCCGTCATCTCAATCGAATTCCTATGGAAATTACGGAAACTATTCAAATTCGACTAATTCGGGCGCTTACAATCAATATTCCAGTGCTCAACAAGGACAATACAATTACGCTCAATATGGACAAGGCGACCAGTATCAGTACCAAAATTGGCAGTATCCGCAAAGCAGTTACGGAAGCTATAATCAGTGGAGCGGATATAGCAGTGGATATGGCTACTAAATTTAATCGTCGGATAATTTATAAATTAATTAGTACCTGTACATAAAAACCACGTTAGGTTAAGTTTTCATACAATTTTTAATTTGTGAATTTCATTGTACGTTTTATTATTTGAGTAAGAGCGGTTTCTTGTCAAATCTAAAAATTATGCACTCTTATTTGAATAATGAAGTCATAAGCACCAATGCCATGAGATGTGTCTATTGTAGGTATTACGCCTTAGATTTAGATTTGAGAAAATTAAACATTCTGGAAAATATATTCACTTTTTTATTTGTTATTTTATTACGTATTAGTAACAGCTATGTGGCTCTTGATCATAATTGTAAAGTAATTACAAATTAAAATTACATTAGCCTTCTTTTGTTTGTTTACCAATTAGCTTTTGACATTTCCTTCCCATTATTGTCAAGATTAAGTTTGCTGATTTGTATCGGAACTAATTTCAGGGTGTGGATTACCTTTTTTTACATATGTAATTGTAAAGTCCTGTATATTTTGAATGTACTTGCATTTATAATACACGGTGTTCTAAGTGTTTTCATATTAATTTTTAGAAAGGTAGCGATAATTGATCACATGACGCTGCCTCTTTGATATAAACATTTTTTTGCAAACATGATAGAAATGTAATACTTAAGATACAACTACCTAAAAGTGAAAAAGTTCATCGGAATATTCAGCATACACTCCATTAAATATTGGACTTGCATGTTCGAACTTTTTTTAATAATGCAATAATAATAATAGGACTTTAGTGCGCTAAACATAATTGACAATGACTTTCCAGCAATTGGTACCATACCCATTAGTGCAAACGGCAGCAGTTCATATAACGCCAAGACCTATTCTTAAACTGAATCGTATACATTCAGATTAAACATTTATTTTTTCATTACACAGGTAATACAGACATAACAGGTAACACACACAATTTTTTGAATCGCCCGAGAACGCTACCTTGAGGAATACAGTGTTCAATTATTTCTTTTGAAGAGCACTCTCCATGATAACTTACAAACTGTTTCCTATTTAGCATATAATTCGTTAAGACATACTCTTCGCAAACCACAGGTTTCGAGCTTCGACAACAGTATTTTATGGTTTACATACAGTCAAACGCTTTAACAGATTACTGTTATTATCTAAATGTTACTGATTAAATTAGCACAGTTGCGTATTAGATCTATATTAAGTGAAACGATGTTGGTTATGGCGTTTATTATATTTAAACTGATACATGATTTACAGACCTACTTTTTAACCTTTTTCTTAATCTTTTCAGATGATAATTTTCTTTTACTGTTGCATTTAGTAACTTCATCATCACTATCATCTTCAAGGCCTTCGATATCTTCCTCATCTGAAAAAAAAAAGATAAAATCTTGAACATACTTTTTGATGTGAAATACGAGAGTATGTTTTTAAGTTCTGAAAAATTCTAAAGATAGTTTACAGAACAAAAGAAAAATTATTCGGTGTACATGTATGAATATAAGACCATCTAAAACACTCTTTACTTAGAAACTTTACAATTTCACTTTTTACATTTTTATTGCACTATCACGTAAAAAAATAAAAGGTGCACTTTTTCGCTCTTGATGTCTGCCTGAGTCACAAAGGCTCCGGAACTACACCACTTACAGAGTTGGTATTGGTCAGAGATTAAAAATTATTTCATGTTTGTATTCTCATTAAGGGATTAAGGGGAATTTTTTGTCATCAACACACTTCTTTTGAAATTTGTAGGTATATGTGCTAGTCCTTTAGTTAAATGCGTCATTTCATGAAATGCCTAGTCATGTGGCACTTTCTACGGATAAATGCTACCCCTTATCGATCTAAAAGGGGAAGGGAAACTACCCCATATGTCAAATTGTCAGCATTTCAATAAATGACTAGGCTTTTTGTGAAATGAAGGATTTCACTAAGACATATTATATATATCGTAGTCTTTTAATGAAATCCGTTATTTCACGAAACGCCTAGTCATTTATATAAAACTGTGGCACAGTTTACTTTCCAGGACCAAGCGATTGGATTCCCTTCCCATTCAAGAACGAGATCGATAAATGGTATCCCTTATCGATCTAGAAGGGGAAGGGAAACTACCCCACACGTACAAATTTTAAGCGTTTCACTAAATGATTAGGTCACGGACTAGGCTTTTCGTGAAATGACAGATTTCACTAAAAGACTACGACATATACATGGCCCTGAGTAGCTGCAGTTGCCTAAAATGCCAGTTAACCACGAACCGATTTTAAGAACACTACATGGTTTATGTACTCAAATTCTGCAATAAAATAAAATATTACCTATTGGAACATGATCAATTCTATCTTGTTCTACGATCTTTGTTAGTTCCATATTAACACTTTTTTGAACACTACGCAGAACATTCACATAATCTGAAAGATTACTCGAGTCCAAATTGATACTTTCGCATATTGTGCCTTGACTGATTTTATTCTTATACATTTCTATTTGAATTTGAGTTTTACATGCCATTTTGTTATGATTAATAACCTCTAAAATGTAAAATCTAAATGAAAAGGAAAACAGCAAGCCAGTAACCCATATCTCTTATATACATATATGCAGTAACCACCATATATACCATGCGATCAAAAATGAGTTGATGTCGAGTGACCTTTGGAATTTTTGTTTACATGGGAAATCGTACTTAACTTAAACTTCCAAAGGTGACTCGACAGCAACTCATTTTTGATCGCCCGTTATAAGAGAAGTATACAGTGAATTTTTTTTAAATGCGAACATAGGAGTTTGCATGCAATGTAATTTCCCTATGTTCGATTTTTAAAAAAACACATCATAGTTCAAATGAGTAGTAGATACAATTAACAGTTGTCACATTTTTAAAAATACAACCGTCCAATTTAATTACGAAATCGGTTAGGTTATTGCTTAGAATGTCAAGGAGGACACTTCGAACATTTATTGTAATTGTTTTCGTTATTTATTTTCTTCATTTATGTATTGAATAGATCAAATTAGTAGAATACCAGGTACACATGACCTCCAAATTATTGAAGGTTGGTTCACAATGAGTTGTGGTGTCAGTGCGTGGCCTGTGAGATAAAGTTATCGTAAAGCTCGCTTTTTGATGCATTGACGTGTGTTTCAATGGCAGTGCTGCCAATTTCGGAAAACAAATCTCAATATTGTACATTTTGAGGTTAATTTAAATTGCTAGGAAACAAACATGAATAACAAGCTAAAGAAACTCATTTTTGCTATGTACATGTACCTAATTCAAGAGACTTATATTTGAGGTTATGTTCAAGAGTATAAAAATAAAGTTGTTGGTAGCACGGAATTTGTTCTAATTTGGTGCTAGTGCGCAAGTCACAAGTATGAAAGTTGGATGGAAAATGGGTCTGGACCTAGTTTCAGATCTAGTTTCTAGATTAGAAACTTGGACGGAATTTTCTGATTTGTATTGTCAAAATTTTAAAAAGTTGTACTAGTACCAGTTCTAGTCAAAGTTTCTAGACGAAAAAAGTATAATGTAAATTGAGCTTAAGTTTAAGAAAAATGTATCCTAAAGTTGCTATGGCCTCACATGGCTTCATTAAAAAAATCTTACCGAGTGCTCTTCATCATAAAGACTATTAGAGTTGCTGTTCATAGTCACACAAGTTGCGCGATTTGGGAATGTGAACCGCGCACACCTCATAGATTGATGTGGTTTTTTTTAAATCGAACATAGGGAAATTACATTGCATGCAAACTCCTATGTTCGCATTAAAAAAAACTCACTGTATATATGGTAACCACTAAAGATATATGGCAGTGGCTATTCGAGCGGTGCCGTGGGTCTATACACAGGTTGTGGTAGACATTTGGAACTGCAACAATCAATTCACTGTGTGATGTTTCACTCTGTATATACATGAAGCACCTAGGGGCTCAAGATGGGTTCATAGCTCTTCGATAATCCGTTGCGTTGATCCGTCAAACGGTTATGACATTTAAGCTAATTTACGATATTTACTGCTTTCCATTTGAGTGCGTGTGAAGCTCTGGAGCAGCTCATTTTGCAAGTTGTTCATTTTGCAAACATTTCAATTGACATTCACAGTACGTAAATAACCACAAAAGTGTTTCAAACCCCAAACAAATAGGTGGTGCATGACTGCATAAGGGGATAAGGGAAATTCAATTTCGGGCCCGTCAGAGCTCGAAGCTTTCTTAAAAGAAACACAGGGCATCGTGCACGGTACAGCTTAGAGCTCCTCTTTCACTCAAATGGAGAGCAGAATGCAGGACTGGCGCCTGCCAATGCTAACCACGAATACTGCAGGTGAGAGAGATGGTAAAACTAAGAAGGCAAGCTGTCTCTTACGGTTACGCATCTGATTGGTTCTTTTAACAGAAGCGATCCCGATCGCATTCAAATTACATTGAAAGAACCAATCAGATGCGTATCCTTAAGAGACAGCTTGCCCTCTTAGTTTTCCCTTCTCTCTCACCTGAAGTATCCGCGCTTATCATTGATACGCGCAGTCCATTCATTATATGTCGATGGGTATATAACCATAACCTACATTTTTATCATTGTATTTTGTAACAGTTTAGTTTATTTATATTCAAATTTCAAAATTACCGCTTGCTACGTTAGGCAGGATATAGGTGAGATGGCGCCACTTGTACGCGTGCTTCTTTCCTTGCGCAGGATCGCGTTAATTTTTCACTTCATTTTCCGTTTTAAAAGCCAACGAGGTTGTACTTGTAGAGCGTGGCATTGTGAATTCTTCTAAAACCAGTGGGTAATATTTGCCATCATTCACGTAAAATCTCTGGCAATTTTCCCTGTTTATTGGCGTTGTCGAGTAGAGTAACTCAGAAGCCGTTTTCTCCGTTGTGAGGCTATATCTGGTGGAAGTTCATCGCCCTACCTACATATTCACAACCTCTTGGATAATTTCCATATTTCATTGATTTAAGTATTTTTCATTACCCTCCTGACGATTTCAGGGGGTCCATGTAGTAGACGAATTCTTGTACCGGTCAATCCATGTAGTAGACGAATTCTTGTACCGGTCAATCCATGTAGTAGATCAATCCTTGTACAGACGAATCCTTGTATGTAAATGAATTTGCATCTTGCGAATATTCTGGAGTACGAACACCTGTTGATTGTCGGCAGCTATCCGGCGTACCACCGAGTAGATAAGCGCTAACACCTAAACGATACCGGGAGCGACCAGCTGATGGTGGAATTTTCGGAAGATACGATCTTTTACACAACCTTTTTTTTATTTGCTTCAATACCGTTAATCTAGTGTAACCTTCCGACGATTTATGATCTGAGCTTTGTATTTTGTTCGCATCAAGTGTTTGAGGTCGTGACTCTCTTCAAGAGCAACGCACCTGTATTTAACGTATGGGTAAACGAGCCGGCTACGAGTAAGCTATTTTTTTTGGCCCTTCCGGCTCATATAATCGTTCCGAGCGTTGTAGCTTGGGGTTTGTTTTTTTGTGTTACAGAACTGGAACTTCGAAGGAGAGCTCTTTTTCGGAGAAGACAGCGTATGTGTTATTCAAGGTAAGATTTTAAATTTACTTGTACCCAGTGTTGCCTATATGAGTTGTTATTCGGGTTAACT